TCTCTCTCTCTCTCTCTCTCTCTCTCTCTGGCGCGCGGAAAGTTTGCGTTGAAAATGTCGCGTTGAAATCGTTATTTGTTACGTGTACTGCACGTGAATCATTTACACACCGGAAATTTTTTAATATCACAGATTTCCTTTACATAAACAGAGAATCTCCAATTTAACTTTAACTACGTTGTTTCATTATAAAAGAGCGATATAAAAATGTGAGAAAATTTATATATATATTACACATCAATTCAAAGCTTTAAATTACTCTTTTTCAACGCTCAGAAGATCCGAAATTAGTAAGCGATCATCCATAATAGAATTCTCATTGACGGAAGCTCGAAATAATTGCGTGGAGATCTACAGATTTATTACGTAATGCTTTGTGCAAAACGCGCGACATAAATAGCTCGGGAATGGAAGCGTTCTGAAAGGGGGTTGAACAATCGTCTCGAATATATTGGCACGCGAAAATTTCCCGGCATGAGCGAAATTCATATACGGAATATGCGTAAGTTCCGTTTCTCGCGTTGAGATCGATTCCATTTCACGTGAATGAGAAAATTCGGTCGGCACCGCGATGCGAGAGAACGGCGAAAGGGGGGAACGGGGGCAACGTGCGGGAAGGATTCTATTCGCGATCGATAGGGGATTCCAACGGTCGGCGTTGGGATACGCCGAATAATTTCGAATCCGCGGATGAGAGAGAGAATGAGAGAGAGAGAATGAAAGAGAGAGAAAGAGAGAGAGAGAGAGAGGCGCGTTTTGCGCATCGTCATTATTATAAGAAACTATTTCTCGCGGGGTCGTATTATATTCGCGGCTGCTTTCATTACGGGGGACTTCCCGCGTAATGACGATGTCGCTCTGATAACCAGTCGCGTAGCTGCTTGCGAAGCCCAGTGGTTCCCAAGCTCCCGAGCGGCACACAGAAGATCATTTGATCTAATTAAAAGATGAGGCATCCTTACGACGCTCGCGCGCAGAATAGTCGGGGAAATATAATCTTTAATTAACGTAATGTATTTTTTTTATCGACCTCCCGGTTTCGTCGAGCGCAGAGCGCGCGAAGGCGATAAAGGAGAAGATGTGATATTTTCATTACCGTTATATGACTTTTAAGGAAGAGATAATTTATTACCTTCGCATAGCATCACACGTGCAATTAATCTAAAGATAGCGGAACGATATTTTTAACAAAGTGGAAACACGGAGAGAAATGGCCCATGCCATGAAAATACCATGTCACAAAGTAGACTATCTCTTGAACTTTATAAAATCGATAACTATAGAATATTATGTGTGAGAGATGTGTCGGGGCACATACCTTTATTCAACTATCTTCCGCAGACATAAAAGCCCGTCACTTTTCCTATTTGGGAAGCACTGCCCGCGAACGTAATCGATGAGGTATGCATCGCGAGGCGATATTCAGCTGCCTCTCATGACATGACACGGCAGAAACTCACCTTCGGCTTTCATTTCCTCTTTTCCCCCAGGGGCATGAGTCGAGATTCGGATCCATACGCGAATCCCTGGCGCGTCCCCTCCGCATGTGCCCTAATAACTGCGCCGAGATCATCCGTTTCGATAAGCGCAGCCAACGCGAGCTACCGAGTATTATCGTTTTAACGACGTATAATATGGTCCTTCCTTCCATCCCCTTGCCTCTCCCCCTTCTCATTCAACGAAACTAATTAAATATAATTAACGAATCGTTTTTTTCTTCCCTCGCTTTCTCAGGAATCTGCTCGGGTCTGAGGGAAGTACGTATCCAGATACCGACGGCCGTGAAGAAGGGCGAGTCGGCGACGCTGAATTGTTGGTACGACACCGAGGGCGACCAGTTGTACGCCGTCAAGTGGTACAAGGGGGGTCGAGAGTTTTATCGCTACGCCCCGAACGAGAATCCGCCAGTCAAGACTTTCCCCATCGGAAACCTGACGGTGAAGGTGAGTTCCTTCCGGACCCGGGTCGCCTTTCTTCCTCTCCTCTTCAACCAACGTTGTGACGAACGAGCTCGCAACCTTCCGCTGTCCCGCGGGCCATAGCGAAATCCAGAGATCCTTTCGTGTCCCGGTGGGACCGCGCGGAGGGGGAAAAAAAGCGGTGTCAAGAAGAGAGAGAGAGAGAGAAAGCGAGGATTTATTGCGGTCGAGAAGTTGCGAATGGAACACGATAACACCGAACGCGCCGGAACGTACAGTACCTGCTCGCTGTATAGCGAGCCGCGTTCTACATATCGGTCGATCGAAGTTTTTGAATTCGAGCTGTCTCCCTACGAGAGGGGTAACTGATGGCCCTCGCGTCCGATGTGTGTTGCCCGTTTCTGGTGTCGCGCTTTCTCTCCATTAAATTTCGCGCGTTTTCGTTTTTCTTTTTGACTTTTTAAGCGTGCAGGAGTTATCGTATCTTTTATTGCAATTTTATGCTCGATTGATAGAATCATAAATTTTCTAGAGAGAGCTTTTTTGTTTTTTAATAATACCTTCGTAACTCTTTTTAAGCGTATTTTCATACATTATCTTACTTTAAAAAAAGGACTGACGTTTTTTGTTTATTACTTAATCAAGAGATATCTGTGGAGAGAGATTTTAATCCTAAATAAAGAATATTCTATTCTACTTTATATATTCTGCGAAAAGTTCGCGGATATTTCATTTATACACTTCAACCTAGTTGTTTAAAGCGCCGTTAAATATAATTTTATGCACGCTACATGTATACGAGATGCGGTCTAGCAAAGCCCAATGTAGAATTCCGCGTTTCAGACGTGACAGCTCGTATTACGACCTAATAATGTTTGTTTAACGAACGCCTACAGTGAGATATGATTCTGTCATAATGGCGAACAGATCCGTTTTGCATTATTGCACTTGCATACGTGATTTTTAACGTCGACTCCCTGCGCTGCTTACGCGCCCCGTTTCTATTTTTGCGATGCCGGATACCGAGAGCCGCGGGCGTGTTTTCGTTCGAAACGCAATTCGAAAAGCCCGGACACCTTGCTACGATATTTATTACTTTTAACATCGTCGATAACGATTCGCGCGCAATTGGCACTCGGATTGGCATTTGGATGTAAAAAAGATAGCAAAAAAAAAAAAAAAAAAAAAAAAAGCGCGACTGCATCGCGAATATTTAATGCGACGGATGGAAGCGCGGTCGGAGATGAGGTATCCTGTTTGGGAATAGAAGAGGGATATGTATCGAATAATTAGATTGGTCACAGATCGCGCGATTGACAGAAGTGTCGGTCATTCATGGATTGAACCAGTTCTTCTCGTATTATATAAATGAGAATTTTTTTTTTTCCCATGATTTTTGTGTCGTCGACATAATTGCGACGAAGACGAGAACGCGCCTCGTGCCTGAACGTAAGAGATCGTAATGAATTATCGTTGTTCCGCAGAAAACGGAGAGCAACGCGACGCAAGTCGTGCTGATAAAGTTGGAATTGGAAGCGGCGGGCGTATATAGCTGCGAGGTATCAGCTGATGCACCTTCCTTCCACACAGCTATAGTTTACGCGGCGATGAACGTCGTTGGTAAGTATCCCTCTTTAATTTTCTTATTTCCTACATTAATAACTCTGGACGTTAGAATCAACTGTATAAAAACATGTTAGAGAGAGAGAGAAAGAGAGAGAGAGAGAGAGAGAGAGAATTATACGGCGGGACGATTTAACGCGCGTATTCGCTTTACGATGTCTCATTGTCTCATAATATCGAGTCCTATAATAAGGGAAATAATAATAATAATAAACGCGTTACTTAAATGGTATTTTCTCGATGCATCGATAAAACTTTTACGATCGGCGATAATTTATTATACGATCGACGAGCCGGAACGTTTCGCGAGATGGTGCCTCGCGAAAAAGTGGCATCTTTGGAAATTTACAAGAGAATTGTGTATCCAGCAATATATTCTAATAACGTAAATTGCATGTCGCAATTTTGCGAGATTCTGTCATTAAAATGTAGCGTCCGATAAATTTAACGCCGACAACGGGCTTCTGCCGGGGCTTCTTCTCTTCGAAGAGTACACTGTAATCTATTCTGATATTACGTACGCGAAGCTTCTCTCCATCGGAGAGAATTAAATATCTTTTTTAATTACACTCACGTCTCTCGCGCGCGTCATAACCATAGTCTCGTTCTCGCGAATAAAAAAACGAGAAATATAATCCGTGAAAACGCACGCACATCCGATGCGACACAAATCTTTCGAAAGAACGGATCTGCTCAATATTCGCGCATTTCGCGTGAGAGCGGCGATATTTTTATCCGCCGCGTTTTCCACCGCCGTAAAGGCGCGACGAAGCGTGCAAATTTACGTCCTTCGTAAAAAGTAAAAAAGTAATATTTTGCAAGCGGGAACTGGCGTTGACAATGTGCAGATGCTTGTAACAACCCGAGTACGTTGCACACGCGTGTGTGAGCGCGTATGACGCGATAGCGAGACGGTCGGACACGCGATTTGCTTCGCGTAAGAAAAGAGTTTCTCGTACGAGCTACGGGAATGCGAGGGGAAGGGTTCGCTTTCTCGTATCGACCGATCGTTACCGTCGCCGAAAGTTTCGGGCTGTGTCGGGCTTTGGAGAACGTCGACGGGTCCGGTCAAGCCCGGTCAAAGCGACGACGACTCGACTGCACGCAAGCTCGTGCGATGTTTGGACGCGTGGATATATACAGGGTATCCCAGACCTAGCGAGCCACCTTTTACATATGTATTCTTGATTCCAATGCAAATCCTTATCAGAAACATCGCGAGAGATCAATGGTTATTAATTTATGCGCGGTCAAAGAAGAGAGAGGGATTACTTCGAAATTTCCTCTTATCATCAAATTTCGAGTAAACCTTGTTTGAGATTTATAATTTGAAAATATATTTATTAAAAGAATATTCAATATATAAAGAATCTAAAACTAGTGTGTAAAAAAAAGAAGAAAAGTAGGACTTTCGCTTCGATATTTTCGCAGAGTAAACATGTACTAAAAATATAACCATTCACTGAGATTGAAGTGGCTAGATCCGGGACACCCGGTATTATACACGGAATATATCTTATCTTCGCAGAATTACCCTCTCAGATGCCGTCGATACAAGGACAAAAGAGGAAATACCGTGTCGACGATATGCTGCGTTTGAATTGCACATCCGGTCGGAGCAAGCCAGCCGCGAATCTCACTTGGTATATCAACGATCGACAGGTATGCTCCAACTGCTAATGATGGTAATGCGCGCGTGGTTAGACGAGAGGAGAGACGATCGGAAAGGAATGGGGTTGGAGGAGGAGAGAGGGGATCAGATACCTCTATTTAGTTTACCTTGGCTTTGATCCATTATCCCTGATCAAACGTCGGAGACAAGGGAGCTTATGGGATACCTTCCTCTTGGAGATGTTCTAAAGTTAGGGGGAGCAACGTTCGCAACAATGGAAAATCATTCAACATTTTGATCTTCTCGCGATTGACGTGTACAATATTTCTATAAATATCCTTCGGGCTTAATTAAGGTTCCGATTGAGAGTAGGATAATTTGAAATGTTCCAGAACACTTTTAAATCTTTAAATAGCCGATATCTCAAAATACCTTAAACTTTAAATATTTTACAGATAATATTCTAGAAACTGTGCTCTTAAATTGAAAAATTTCTAGAAGCTTAGACAAGTTTTACAGCGTTTAAAGTATTTTTTCACAAAACATTATTTTCACAAAATAGCTTTCGTAATTACTTTACATTAACGCACACGTATGTAAATTATTTCGCGTGCTAGATACGAATACACGGAAAAATTAATCGCCATGCTACCGACAATTTATATAACAGCAACATTTTTTTTTTAAAACATATGAAATAACGCAAATAATGATTTTTCATCCTCACACACAATATCAGATAAATATATACATGTAATTTATCTTCTAACAGTGTGTTCGTTCTTTTATATTGTGTCAACATACCCATTAAATCAATTTAATAATAAAACTTTATTACAGTACATTCCAAAATTAAAATTATTTGAAACAATTTACTTTTTTATCAAAGCATATGTATGGTCTTAATGTGTGCGTGATCAAAAGGATTAATAATTTTTCGTTATCAATCACTTTTTTTTCACGCATGTATGTTTTTATACATATTTCTATAGCAATACACTTGCTATACAAAGGTCGCATGTTGAGAAAAATTTTAGATATTTTCGTTGATTAATTTTTGTCTTTTTGTTCTTTTCTCCTCAGCCTCTCAAGTCGCACGTTCGCACGTACAGCCCGCTCGACACGAACGAATCGGAATGGCAAGTCTCGCAGATCGGGCTCCAGTTCCTGGTTACGTCCGAGCACTTCATGAGCGGCAAATTGAAAATACGTTGCAGCGCGTCGATATACGACATTTATTGGCAGAGCACGGAGGTGAGCGCCGAGGAGGATCGGCCACGGGTGATACACTACGAACCGGCCGCGACTATCGTCGGCATCAACTACTTGCAACCACCGCCGAATTTTCAGACCGGTCAGAAGAAACCCGACGGGCAAGTTGGGGTGAAAGGTAAAAGCTTCCTCGCTTCTTCTCACATTGTTTTGGGTAGATCCAGTTTTATTACTTCAAACAAATACGTTCTTGCGATTTATTTATCGAAATTCGAGACAACTCGAGAATTTAAAGGCTTTATTTTTCCGAGCTTGAACAACATCCTAAGAGCTCTTTGAACGGGCACATTTGCATTAAAACAGCCGCGCATACAATCGAGGCATTCAAAAAGCCGCGTGATCTTTGCCCCGCGCTCTGAATTCTGCCGACTGAACGAACAAAAAAAAAAAAAAAAAAAAAAAA